CCGTACTATGCTATATTATACTGTACTGTACTGTACTGTATTGTACTACATTATACTGTACTATATGTACGGTACTGTACGATACGTATGGTACTGTACGGTACTGTACCGTGCTATGCTATACTATACTATACTAGACTAGACTAGACTAGACTAGACTAGACTAGACTAGACTAGACTAGACTAGACTAGACTAGACTAGACTAGACTAGACTAGACTAGACTAGACTAGACTAGACTAGACTAGACTAGACCACACATAGGATGGGGTTCCTCGCTCATAACTTGAATGAATGTTCTGCCTTATCTGCTGTATGGATACGCGTTAGGAGGGTATGTACATATATTACCCATATGCACCATTATTTCACGTGAACTTTGGTCCATGCGATGCCATGCAGTGCAACCCAATCAGCGAGCTAGTTGCTGCAGTAGCTGGCCGCTGAAAAGGCCTCTCAAGATGCTGATCATGCGCTTCGCACGGATTTGTAGTGAACATGTGTGCCCTACTGTGTACCAGCTCCTACAGTTGCATAGCAAGCGTGTGTGGCTTGTTACGTTTCATTATTTTGCCCCAATCCAACCCATCCAGTCCAACCCGACCTATATGTACACATATGTAGGGCATAGTCTCTCCTGCTGTAACCCCTAGCTAGCAGTCCACTAGCTAATTGCGTGGTGACCTACACCGACCTAGTATATCATGACTTTCCCGGGAAAGAACCGATCGGTGGATGCAGATCCCGTAATACCCAGGATGCAACACCTCGCTATACACAAACCATTTCAAAACCAATAATAGATTCTACCAGGATTGAAGCAAGCATTAGCACGTACTAAGCGCTATATTATTTGGAACTTCCTGTGGGTTTTAGGGTTTTAGGGTTTTACCCACAGAAAACATGGTGTTCCCCGTGTTCCTTGTTGTAACGACGCAAATGCCAATCTGAGCATCCCGGGTTACGCCTTTGCTGTGTTACAATGGTATCGAGACGGGACCGCACGAATTCCGAAATAAACTTCGGGTCGGCGGTTCGATTCTGGCAACCAGCAAGTCGCAAATTGGCGATTTCATGGTGTAATGGATAAACCAGCGCACTGGCGCGAGGTGGGATGGCTCCTGTGCTCGACGTCCATTGCTAAGTGGGGGGCAATGTAACGACGCAAATGCCAATCTGAGCATCCCGGGTTACGCCTTTGCTGTGTTACACTTGTCCTACGTGTACAAATAATGTCCACGTGCTCCACAGCCTGCCCTGACCCGCCCAAGCAATAAAATAAACACAAGGATATTAACGTGCCTCACATCGTGCTGCATGCTTATGTTGTATTGTGTTCCTGAGGACTGCTGCACTCACAACAGGTGTAGGACTTCATCCCCGCTAATTATGTCGTGCTGCGTGGATGCATATGCCTGCATGCAGGTGGTCCTTGATGGTGAAGGCATCTCGTGGCAAATGTTTGGATGTTGTGGACGGTTGGTTAGTGGTCACAGACTGCAACCGTTTCAGTCACATGCAGGAATTCGATCTGCCAGGTTTTAGGCCATAATACAAAAACGATTTTTACCATTGCAATCTGTCCACCTAGCAATGTCCGTGCCCTGATTCGGTGATGGCTGACAAATCGTCCGCATGCACGTGCAGAACGGAAGACGCTACGTTAAGTTCTCCCGCCTCTAAATGTTCAATGCTCATAGCTATCTATGTGGATGGGTTCCCGCTGCGGTGTCATTATAATTCACTTAATAAGGTGGTTACAACTGTCTGGGTATACGGTTCCCGGTTTGGGGTTTTTCCATTCCCGGAATGGAAAGGGGGCCCCTCTCCTTGCTTTGCATGGTCGCGCTCTCCTGACTTCTTTTGCTGTTTTTGCGACTGTGCCTTCGCAAAATTAAATCATAAGGTGCGCGCAGGCAACGTGAGAACGCAGTGTATGTACACGTGCACGTTGTAATGCCGAAGTACGATTGTCCCTTTTGCATTTATTGCAGTCGTTGCAAATACAGATGCAACTAACTTTAGTAGCCAGGATGCATGATTATTATTACTGGTTCATTGTTCTGCTAAAATACATATGCAAGCACGATGTACGTTGTTGCATGTTCCATACACAGATGGCGGCTGCAGCTGCTAGCCATGAAGTTGAGGAATATTAAAAATTAAAAAAAGGGAAGAACTCATCATGGCTCTGTGCAATTATGTGGATTCGCCTCCACCATGCACGCTGGTATTCAGTACAGTACGCTATGCATGGATGGTGTGCCCGATTCAAAATCATCCGGATCATATATGGCCGGAGATGCATGACGTGCATACATGCTTGGTCTGTGCATGCCTTTCTGGTCGATACGCAATCGACACAGATCTGTCTACCTGACTACCTGACATGCATGGCATCCCTAAATAAGACCCGGCGTCAAAAACAAGTCAGCCGAACGGGTGACTTTTGGTGACCAATTGAGCTCGTGCGTGGCCAGAAGGTGTGAAAAAAACTGAGAGTACTAAATTGTTGTTACAAGATTCCTGTACGACAACAACCATGCACCATATATCCACCACCACACCATGATGGTGGCGATGTCTACTAGCTGCAAACCAATGTCATCCCTGTACATGTAGTAGCCGTCGGGAAGGAATGGTTCGCAACAGAACACCACAAAAAAACGGAATGGAGTATGTCATGTCAGTTCATTAACGGAACGACGACTGGTAAAGTGAATGTACGATGATTACTTATCCCCTTTCGGTATCGACGCTACTAAAGACCAAAACTGAATGCACATACACACACGACTTAAACCTAAAGGAGAGTGACTTGACGCTGAAAGAAGTGATGAGGGGTTAAACATCGATCCTCCCACGTCGCTATCTATACGGCAGCATATGCACGCTAGTACATGCATCAATGCACACCAAAGCCAATAGGAAATATTATTGATGATATGCGCTCTAACACAGGCAACTATCGACCGTATAAGGGGTCGAACCTTGGACCTTGCCCTTAGGAAGGGCACGCTATATCCACTTAGCTATACGGCCGCCAATGAGCTCAACTACCGGACAACAATATTTTAAACGCCAAGTAATACACACACAGCAACACACACACAGCAACACACACACAGCAACACACACACAGCAACACACACACAGCAACACACACACAGCAACACACACACAGCAACACACACACAGCAACACGGGGATCCTCTAGAGT